ACGGCAAAAACGCATAAAAACCAGAATCATGCACCTGGATGCGCGTGCGGCTCTATAATGCACCACCTTCATCCCAACTGACATCTTTCCTCCAGCGTGCCGGAAAGGATCAAAGCACATCAATATGACCCAAGTGTTAGGCTGCAGCGTAGGGATCATTCCTGCTAATAGCGATGGGCGAGTTTAGTGCAAAAACGCATGATCGCACTGGAGAGCCTGGTGCGTTCCAGCATGGGTTTTCATTGCTCAGGATTAAAAGTCTTGCTGAAATGTAAGTCAGAAAAGTCGAGCGAATATCGACCAAGATTACCACACACTTTGTTGAAATGTACATTGCACGTGAAAAATGGATCAAGAAGGTCTATGCCTCTTTGGACCTCAGTCTCATAACTTGTGATAAGTGGCGCAAATTATAATTTTCATCGACGAAGAAAGGATGAGCAGCTGTTCATCGCTGTCCGCCGTGAGTGCTTACCTTTTTTCTGGCGAAGAAAAATCCACATGAAGACATATACAAGAACAGTCGCAAGATTAACTGTGCAGCCGGCAACAGCAAATATCAGCTGCGGCGAACCAGAATAAATTGACACAACTGTGCAAGCAATGCTGCTAAAAATTTTCCTCTTTATTTTTTGCTAAAATTTTGTTGAAAATTATTGAATTGCCTTGCTGTTAACCGATGGACGTTGAGCACTAGTGAGTGGTATTCGCGAGGAAAAACAGCTACTTGAGTGATTCCCAAAGAGATGGCGTAAATACTTCGAACAAGCGATGGGAACTAACTGCAGATATGCAGCGCAGAATCCAGGGACTAGCACAGCTGGACGCATGCGAGCATCTCGGTAACTGTGCTAACAGATGACACCTATTCTGATTGTCCTGGCATTTTTGTTGTCTTGGTTTTCTTTTCATATTCTAATGTTATTAAAAAAACGAAAACCCGTTCAAAATTGTTGACAAGTTTTACTCGAAATTATACATTAATTTTTTTGCTAAAGTTAAAAAATAAAAAATAATTACTGCTCATCCAGCAATGCATAAGTTGCAAGCATGATTGCAGCACCGTAACATAAAGCAGGAATAGTCGTAACGGGTAAATAAACAAGTCGGCTCACATTGGAATAG